AAATTTCAATAGAAAAGAAATTAATTTTTTCTTTAAAATATTTTCTAAAAATATTTCAAAAATGGAAATCCTAATATTTAATTTTTGAGGCAATTTTTGGATTAATCCCTTAGGGGATAAGTAAAATTAAAATAGGGAAAGACAGAAATTATTTTAGAAATAATGTTTAAAATTGGTAAAAAGAACGAGGATTAAGTTTACAAATGTAGATAAATAAAAATTGTTTCAAGTTTGTAAAATAATTAATATTCAAGTTTGTGTATTACAAACTACAAAATTTTAGTTAAGTAAACTTAAAGTTTACAAAATATAAAACTCAAAACATCAAGTTTAAAAGATGAACTTGATGTTTATAAATAAACTTGTTTTTAAACATCAAGTTTATAAGTTTGAACTTGATGTTTATAAAAATAAACTTGTTTATAAAGATTGTTTATATTCAAAAAAATATATTTAAAAATAAGAAAAGATAAAATAAACAAACACGCCAAAAAATATACAAAAAGAATAATAAAAAATAAAAAAGACGCCTCATTCTATTTTCTTTCATTTTTAATTAGCATATAGAGCTAAAGCAATATATTCTCAATGTTAAAAAACAAAAAAAACTTCTTAAGAATTGAATTGTTGGCAAAAAAAGTAAAATAAAACCTCAAAAGATTTACATGTTTCTAATGTTCCCACGGGTTTATAAACAGATTATAAATAGATTTTTGTTTTTGGTAATCTAATATTTATTGACTTTATTTTTTAAACTTTTGTTGTCTATGTGTTTAGGATTTTTAAAAAATTGTTTGGTCACGTTTATTTAAATAAAGTTAAATAGATTTAAGTTTGCGATAATAAACATATTTTAATTAAATAAACTTATTCTTAAGTGTGCGAATGTTTACTATAAACAAACTTGATGTTTCAAGTTTATTTTAGAATTAGTTTGTTGTCGTCTAAAAACTTTAAGTTTTAAGTTTGTGATATTTAAAATGTTTATTCAATTAAACTTTTTTAAGTTTGCGAATTTTCAATTAAGTAAACTTGATGTTTCAAGTTTTGTTTTTATAGTTTTTATAAGTTTATTTAAATTAAATGAACTTGATGTTTCAAGTTTGTGACATTTAAAATGTTTATATAAACTGTTTCTTAAGTTTGCGAATTTTTAATCAAATAAACTTGATGTTTTAAGTTTTGTTTTTATAGTCCTTATTAAGTTTGTTTAAATTAAATAAACTTGACTTAAGTTTGCGTTATTTAGAAATGTTTATAATTAAAAATGATGTATCAAGTTTATGTCCTATAAAATCTGTTTACTTAACAAACTTAATGTTTTTAAATATTACATATTTGTACTAAATATTCCACGAATATATAAATATTTCATTTTCTCGTGGATTTTTCTTTACTTTAGTTTGCTTTTTAAAAATTCTAGGAGTGTGTGTATTATAAATAATGAATAAAAAATAATAATTTGACGTGTTTGAAAAAATTGAGGAAATGGAAAATCAAAAAATATATAAAAAAATTTTTTATTAAAAAATATATAACATAAAATTAAAAAAGTCTGGTAATAAAAATAAAAATTGAATAAAAAAATTATTAAAAATGCCCAATTAATTTATTGAACTTTACTAATAAAAAGAAGATGCTAATTAAAATCTCTCATTCTCACAAGACAAGCTAACTTTAGTTTAATTCTTATTACCAGCTAACTAAAAAATATTAAATTATACTTTTGATACTATTCAATAGAGAATTAAATTGGCTAAAAATAAAATAAAAACTAAAATCAGAAAAAAATTTAAAAAAAAAGTTTATTCAAACTACCTAAAATTATATCCACAAAAATGTCAATTTAAGTGTATTTTTCGAAAATATTTTTATTAATTGAATATAAAATGAATTTTATTATTATTTATTTTGTAGCAAATTTAATTCTCTATCAGTTGATAACCATTTGCAACAAGTTAATTTATTCATAAAATTTATATACTAGGGAAATTAACGTAGGTAAATGGCATAAATATGAAAAATATATTTCATCATAATTATTGGAAAAAAAATTTTTTATGATGGGAATAATAAGAGAAAAAACTGGTGATAAAATAAAATAGAAAATTAAATGAAAATGATAAAAAATTAAAAAAAATTTTTTAAGAAAAAATTCTTATAATTAAAATTAATATTTTAAGGCATAAATGAACAACTTTCAGACGGTTTTTTGACTATAACTTATTTTTGATACCCAAAAAATTTTTTTTATTTTAATCCTATTTTATAGCCAATTTAATTCTCTATTGAATGATACCAAATTTAAAATAAAAAAGTTTATTTTAATAATAAATATAAATTCGGAAATGAAGCATGTCATCACTTAAAATTTGTCTTTTATTTATTTTAATCTTTTTAAGAAAAAAAATTTTTTGAAGAGGAACAAATCCCCCTTTACTCTCGTGTGGTTGAATGTCACCGTTTGAACACAAAATGTCCATCAAAACTTTTCTTTCTCCTTCCCTTCCCATGAGAGAAAGGAAGAAAATGTGAAGGGTGGCTGTTTAAGTGGATATTGGTAACAAGTAAAAGTAATATATATTTTTAGAGTTGAGTAAAAGCGCTAAATTGAGTGAAAAGAACGATTGGTTGACAGCCGCCTGTTTCTTTCTTTTTTTAATTTTTAAAGAAACTAAGGGGGAAATAGGGGATAGATATCCAAGTCTCGGGGAGTCTTTATAGGCCATTTTCTCGAGTTTTTAGTCTTTAGGCAGTAAAAAGACCTGGGGATCTTTTTGTCTCTTTAATCTTTGAATTCTCAAGTTTCATGTCAGTCTGTATCTTGTTAATATGTTATGGAGTTATGGTTATAGTTCAATTTTTTGGCTCGTGTTCCAGGTTAAGGATATTACTGAAATTTAGGATTGTTGTCGACATGTTAAATTTTCCCCGTGGCGGTTCAAATGAAGAAGAATAAGAGCTTGTGAGCTGCCAAGGGGAAAAATTACCGGTCGCCAACACCTCGACAGAAACCCTTGAAAATTTAAAACCGACTGACATTATTTGAAGCCAAAGTATCGAACTATCTACTTCTCTCCATTAGGAGTCCTTAAGAGTTCGTGAGAAAAGTCAGGATTATATAGCTAGCTGAAACAGTCCGAATTATTAAATTTGAAATAGTCTAAGAAATACACATATTTTTAAATAAACTAATAACTAAATTCTCATTTGTCTACTACCGCGTGACGTAGTATGAAGAGTTTCAAGTTTTGACAGTTGGGAAAAGGAAGAAATAATTTTTTAAATTTTATAAAATGTCTTTTAAAAATATAAGGGTAAACTTGAAATAAATTGAAAAAAAAAATTAATTTTTATAAGGCTAAAATAGGGATTAAAAGAAAGAACAAAAGTTGTTGCCAAAATTTGATGGAACAGTTGCCAAAAAAATTTTCTCGAATTATTTTTGGAAATATTCCAAGGAAATTTAAGTTAATTGATGGGAGGATTTTTTGGTGACTTTATGGTGACTTTTTTAGAATTTTTTTTAATTTTCTAATTTTGGAAGGAAAAAGAAACATAGGGAAAATTAGGGAAAAATAGAAAAATTAAATTAATTAAAATTTTATTTCTATTAAAAAATATTTTTAGAAAAATAATTTATCAATTAATTTTCTAAAATAGCAATAAATTATGGAATGTTGATAAAATAGAAATTGATAAAAAAAATTAGAAAAATTAAAAAAATATTTATTTTAATTTTAAAATTAAATATGTACTAAATATTTAAATTTAAATGTAAAAACGAGACATAAACTTTAAATAAATTTAAATAAAATAAAAAAAATATTAAAAATTAAAAAATTTTTTTTTAATAAATTAAAATTCAAAATATCATACGACTGGAATATTCACCCTTTTTAAAATAAAATTCAAAGGCTAAAGACGTATGAAAAAGCCTTTTCCGGAAACTAAATTTAATGAGGAATAAGAGGAAATGTTGTAAGAGAAGGAAGAAAAATACTAGCAGCATTTTTTAGCATTATTATTTGTAAATAATTTTTTCCAAAAAGGAAACAACTAATGGCCTTGTATTATAATTAGATTTTAGAATGATGCTTCATCTTTTAGAAGTCGAAAAGGAAAAAGCAAAGTTTAAAAAGAAAAATTCGCAAATTGTAATTAGCGTGCTTTATATTATTTAATAATTAAACAAGTTTTCCGGAAACTTAAGTTTAGTGTATTTATCAAACAAGTTTTCCGGAAACTTAAGTTTAGTGTATTTATCAAACAAGTTTTCCGGAAACTTAAGTTTGGTACATTTATTAAACAAATTTTCCGGAAACTTAAGTTTGGTTTTATATTAAATAGGTTTTCCGGAAACTTAAGTTTGATTTATTTATCAAACAAGTTTTCCGGAAACTTAAGTTTGGTATATTTATTAAACAAATTTTCCGGAAACTTAAGTTTGGTACATTTATTGAACAAGTTTTCCGGAAACTTAAGTTTGGTTTTATATTAAATAGGTTTTCCGGAAACTTAAGTTTGATTTATTTATTAAACAAGTTTTCCGGAAACTTAAGTTTAGTTTATTTATTAAACAAGTTTTCCGGAAACTTAAGTTTAGTTTATTTATATAACAAACTTAACTCGTGCAAAAACTTATAAACTTAAGTTAGTATATTTTAATTTTCCGGAAACTTAAGCATGTATTTTAATCACTAAGTATAATGGAAACAAACACTAAACATGTTTTCCGGAAACAAATTTAAAGTTTATAAATTAATTAAAAAACTTAAGTTTAAAGTTTATTTAATGAACTTAACTCCGATGTAAACTCAAGTTTATAGTACTTGAATGTTTTTCTTTTTCCGAAAACTTAAGTTTTCAAATAATATCCTCAAAAATTAACAATTTTATTAATTCAAAATAAACGCATTCATAAAGAGATTATAATGCCAAAAAATTTAAATGAAATAATTAAATAAAAAATTCATTAAAATAATTTAATTGTAAATTCCTTAAGTCCTCTTTGTAATAATTTTCTTCCGATTATTAATATTCTCAATTTTTGGAACACAAGACGACTGAATTTGCTCCAAAATTTTTTCAACAGTTGTAGTTGAACTATTACTGCTGCTAGTTGTTGGCATATTAGCCTGAGATTTTGACACGTTATTCGGTTTCTTATTAATTCCGTCCTTTTTTGAGTTATTAGCCTTTTTTCTTTTGTCACCAGCAAATGTCTTTTGAGCTGCAATAACTCCCATTTGATTCATTAAAGCTTAAAATAGAACAAAGGTTACTAATAAAACATTCATCTATTTATTTACCCTCCCCATAAAATTCAGCTCGACTATCACGCAAAACTTGTGAATATTTCATATAATTATTCTCAAACTGGGAGAAGTCGCTTTGGTGGAAACTGATCATGTGCTTCTTTGGAGCTGTCTCGTTTACATAATAAAAGTCCTTTGGGCAAGCTAAGCACTTGAATATAGGCAGCATTAAATGGCTAAAAATATTAAATTTTTATTTAAATTCTCTCTCATTTACCGAGTGTTTATATGATAGAGAAGACAAATAGCTCTTCCTTTCACCCACTCCCCACACTTTAAGCATTGCACAGGAGCGAAATTATCGTCGTGTTTTCTTCCAAGTTTCATATTTACTAAATCCTCCTTTCCCCAAAGGGTTTCAGCATTATTACCAGCAATTTCTTCATCCCCATCCTCGTCGTCTATATCTATTATTTCTGGATCATCAGGCATCTATAAATTATTTTAGTTATTTTTTAAAGAAGATACAAAAAATATGGTTATAAGAACTTAAGTTTCCGAGAAAGAAAATATAAATATTTATAAACTTAAGTTTCCGGAAAAAAGTTTCATTTCCGGAAACTTAAGTTGCTGTAACAGTATTTTTGATTTGTAAAAACACTTAAGTTTATAAAAACTGAAGCCTGGTAAATTGAATAAACATAAACTTAAGTTTCCGGAAAAAAGTTTCATTTCCGGAAACTTAAGTTGCTGTAACAGTATTTTTGATTTGTAAAAACACTTAAGTTTATAAAAACTGAAGCCTGGTAAATTGAATAAACATAAACTTAAGTTTCCGGAAAAAAGTTTCATTTCCGGAAACTTAAGTTGCTGTAACAGTATTTTTGATTTGTAAAAACACTTAAGTTTATAAAAACTGAAGCCTGGTAAATTGAATAAACATAAACTTAAGTTTCCGGAAAAAAGTTTCATTTCCGGAAACTTAAGTTGCTGTAACAGTATTTTTGATTTGTAAAAACACTTAAGTTTATAAAAACTGAAGCCTGGTAAATTGAATAAACATAAACTTAAGTTTCCGGAAAACATGTTCTATAAAAATTCTGATTTAGAAACTACATATTCTGATTTAAATAACTACAAATTCTGATCTAATAATGCTCAAACGAAAACTTAAGTTTCCGGAAAAAATAGGCCATACTGATCTTAAGTTTATAAATTCTCATGCGAGTTAAGTTTGCGAACTTAAAAATAAATAATCTTAAAAACTTAAGTTTCCGGAAGGGACGTTTTCTACAAATTCTAATTTAATAAAATAACCCTACCATACACTCATTGCTATTTAATGTCTCTGTATGAGAAGAAGAACTACTTCCATTTGTAGAAACACCTGTTCTTATTTGTTCGTTTTGTGATTGGGAAACTTCAGAAATTGCATTTTTTATACGAACCACAACATTCTGCATTTGTTCTCTCAAAGGTTCAGAATTTTTAGGCTTTGGAATTGGTTGAGATTCTGTTGTTCTTTGTGGAGTTGGATTTTTTGTTGGATTATTAGCCGAGAACTCGTTAATTCTACAATTTTAATTTCGATTGAAAATAATTGTAAAATATTAAAAACAAATTAAATAAATTACAAACTTAAGTTTTAAGCATAAGCTTAGTCTTAATAAAAAACCTAACTCAATTTGTAAAACTTCGCTCGTGTTTTATATTTATTTAAACTTATTCAAGTGTGATCTTAAATTATTCAAGTGCAATCTTAAGTTTTAAACAAAACAAATTAAATAAACTAAAACTTAAGTGTAAGCTTTGTTTTAATAAAACTTAGTTTGTAAAACTTATTAATATTACAATTGTAATCTTAAGTTTTAAAAACCACTTAAAATAAACCAACAAACTTACAAATGTTCAGATTTCATTATAGCCGTTGTTGTTGCTCTAATTAATTGTTGTTGTATTAAAGATGTTTGTTTTGACAATAATTCTTCTCTGTTCGCATTATTTTGTTGAGCTTGTAGTGTTTGTTGTGATGTTGTTTCAGAATTATTTTTATGTTGTGATGAAGTTTCATCTTCTTTTGAACTAGCCAACTTTCTTTTAAGAACATTGTCCAAACCCCCATTGCGTTCACCATAATCACAATCATTGTAAATAAAACGGCAAACTCTGTCCATATAAGGATTTCGCAAAATCTTTGAAAAAAAATTTTTTAGAAAATTATTTTTAAGTATATCGTACATATATGCTCCCTTAGATAACTGACCCCTTAGAATAAATACCCTCACCCATCCCTCTCCAGAAGGAGGTTGAAACAATAATACCCTCCAACAAACGCCCTAATGCACGTTCAGATGCCAAAACTCGAATAATTACCTCTCTCCAATAATTGTTCCCAACTAGCGAGAGGTCGAAACAATAATTACCGAGAGTACTTATTCAAGGAAAACGGAATCTGATCAGACTAGGACACGGATACTGATTTTGGTATCCGTATCCGAATATTTACGGCGGATACAGACTGATATCCGCAGGCATTCTTATAATATCTGTATCCATATCCGTACCCATGTCCTAGACTGTATTTAATTATATTTACATGAAATTGTGCTGTATGTCCATTATTAGCTGCCTCGTGGTCAGCCATCTCTTCAGGCGTAACCGAAGTAAAATCACACTCCAAACATTTGTGTTGTTTATAATTTAAATGTTCCGAAATATGAGACAAGAACGAATTTTTTGGTTGGACTTGACCGCAAATAAGACAAGCCATTACTTTATTTGCAGTCGCAATAGAATAAACACTCATTTTTATAATTGACAGACTCTAAAGAATTTAAAATTGTATAACTTTTGGTTAAATAGAGATTAAAAAATAAATTTTATATTGAAAGAAAGAGGAGAGTTTGGGCTACAAAATAGCAGAAGATTAAATTTTTAGATTAACTTAACTAAAAGTTATGGATTTTTAAAAAGAAGTAGGTCATAATTTTGAGGTTATTTTTTATGTATTGAAATATACTTTTATATTTATTAAAAGAATAAACGTGAAATACAACTTAGTAAATGCTAATTTAACCGTAAATGCTCTAGCCGGTACCTCCTGTAGCCTTGGATCTCTATTTTCAATGTCTCCTTAACTGAGCTTATATTATAGATAGATATGGGCTCTATTAGTACTAAGCTTATATTTTTCAATGGATCTCCTCGGTTAGGCTCATATTAGGGCATTTACGGGTATTTAATTTTATATAGAGGTTTAGAATACGCTAATTCAGGGCTCCGATCGACAAAATGCCACTCAAAAGTATCAAAATCTTGTAAAAAAAGTACATAGGGAGAAAATTTGCAAATAAAAAGTACACTCAAAATTAAATTTGAAAATATTTATTTGATGCTCAAATCTTTTATATTTCTCTCCTAAATTAATCTTTTCTAATAATTTCTTGTTTCCACTGAGCATTTTGTGCATTTCATTGCATGACATGTCAAAATTCGCTGTCACAAGAAGCAAAGCCCTGACAGTCTTAACCTCAAGCGAGTTTCTTTCTTTCGTCTATTGAATGTTTGCCATTGAGAAGCGCCGCAGGCGAAAATTTTAAGAATTTTGGAGGTCCTTAAGCCAGATTTCTTCCATTTTTTGCGCCGCAGGCGAAAATTTTGAGAATTTTGGAGGTCCTTAAGCCAGATTTCTTCGTTTTTTCAAAAATGTTGATAAAAAAGTACATACTTTCAAAAAAGTACAAATTCAATTTCGGAAGTACGAAGGTCGATAAAAAAGTACAATACTTTTAAAAAAGTACGAATCGGAGCCCTGCGCTAATTTAAATTATAATTTTTAAAAAGGATTATACCTAATTATTTATGAAGCAAAAAGAGCTTAATAAAACAACTAAATTTTAGAGTTGCTTCAACTCGCCCAGCTAATTGAAAAATTTATTTAAAAAATATATGAAGTAGACAAAGTTAACTTTACTACTATTTAGTAGTAGAATAACGAGCGGAGTAACGAATATAACGAAGGAAAGTAAACGCTATGGAGAATAATAAAATAAAAATCGATGTTTATATAGACGCTCATAGATTATAAAACTAAATGTATAATAAAATAGCGAGAAGGGAATAAATATAAGAAATGTTTAGAGAAAGAAAATAATTTTATAAAAATATAATACGAGTATAGTAGAGTCTAATACATATGATAATATAAAATATTTAAATCAATAATATAATAATACATATGCTGTAGAGTTATGGCTGTAAAGTTATACATAGCTGTAGAGTTATAGTATAGTTATACATAAGTTCTAGAGTAAGCTTAAAAAGGTTCAATTGCAAGCTTAAGTTATAAAAAAGTAAACTTTATTTAAATAAAACTCAAGTTGTAAAACTTAACAATTAAATTGTAAACTTAAATTTTAATTCTAAAAATAATACAAAAAATATTAAATTTTTTTTTATAAAAAGTGAAAAAAAGGTTAAAGTGGAAAATATTTATAAAAATATTTAAAATAAGAAAATAATCTATTTAAAATATAAGTATAGTAGAGTATATAGTAATGTCTTTATCTTCATTTTCCAATAACACCCTTTGCATAGACAATAGTCATTTTATCATGTAATAATTCCAAATCTTTTTGAATACCTTCAATGTGTTTTAAATTTTGCTCTTCAATATCATCTAATATTTTCTCGGATAATTTAGAATTTTTATTGTTCTCTTTTGTTTTTTCTTTTACAAAGGAAACTCCTATAAATTAAAAAAATATTTTATATTTTGGCATTAATTTTGTAATTATATTAAATTAGGTAACTTATTCTACAAACGAATAAATTTAAATAAGCTTTAATTTTAAATAGTTTTTCACGCGTTATTTTATTTCGCAAACTTAAGTTTATCGATTTAAAAAAATTTTTCTTGAGCTTGGCTAAACAATATTATTCCCTATGTGTTTACTAAGCTCCTTTACGTATTAAATAAATTAAAAAGATTTTATTTTTTAATTCTAAAATTATTAAACAGACCAAATAAATCCTCTCCTTTTAATCTTTCCCCTCTTTGCAATTTTTCTGTTGTTTGGATTAATTGTTTTATTTTTTGCCGACATTCTTTTAATTTTTCTTGAGCTTTAATTTGTTTATTATTCTCTTTTAAACTTCCTTCATTTATTATTCCTTTTAATGAAGAACTTATACCGGAACTGCTATCGGCTGAAGTAGAATAAATTTTTGGAGAAGGAAAATCCTCAAAAGGGGATTGAACTGAAATAAATGATTATTTCGAGTCTAAAACTTTTGTTTACAATTAATCTATTCCGGAAACTTAAGTTTTTAAGTTTCTAGCCTAGAACCTTCTGTCTACACTTAATGTATTCCGGAAACTTAAGTTTTTAAGTCAAGTTATTAATATTCCGGAAAACTAAATATTTGAGTTTCAATTTATAATCCTTAGTTTTATATAAATATTTCCGGAAACTCAAGTTTCTGAATCTCCAGACAATGATATTAATTTTTTCCGGAAACTTAAGTATTCGAATTTATTCCGTACCGTGTTCTTCTCTCTCCTTATCAATAGCTATTGGAATTATTTGTTGACACTCATTTTCAATTTTAATTAATTCTAATTGTAGTTCCAATTGTTTTCGACTTTCTTCATTATGTTTATATTCTTTAGACATTTTTTCTATTGAATAATTTAAATTTTTAATTTTTTGAATTAATTCAAGTCGTTCCCTCTCCCATTCCGCTTCCTTATTTTGATGATGTTTTTGTTCAAAAATTAATTTATTTTGTATCTGTGATATATCGGAGTGCTAAATAAATTTAAAAGCTAGATTATTCTAAATATTTTTAAAAGGAAAAAGGTAATTCCGGAAGTTATTTCCGGAAAAAATATATTTTCTTTTGTATTTTAATTAAATTAGGTAACATATTTTACGGAAACTTAAGTTTATTTTATTTTCGTAAACTTAAGTTTTCTTTCAAAAGTTTATATTTTCCGGAAACTTAAGTGTGTGCGAATTATATATTTATTGCTCTTCCGGAAAGATATACTTTTGTTGATTATTCTTTGTAATTAAATTATGCTTTCCGGAAACTTAAGTTTATAATCTAACTTTTTTTATTTCCGGAACTTAAGTTTATAGTCTAACTTATTTTGTTTCCGGAAACTTAAGTTTATAATCTATCTTCTTATATTTTCCGGAAACTTAAGTGTGTGCAATTATTTATTTATTGCTTTTCCGGAAAAATATATTTCTGTTGATTATTTTTTGTAATTAAATTATTCTTTCCGGAAACTTAAGTTTATAATCTAACTTATTTTGTTTCCGGAAACTTAAGTTTCATAATTAACTGCAATATCATTTATTTATTATTTTTTCCGGAAGATTAAAGAAGTTTTAATATTTTTACAAATTCTACCTTCTCCCTACCAAATTCCACTTCTTCCATTACACCCTTATCCCTTTCATTATTCATTTTAAAATTATTATTAGTAGCTATATTTAATTCAATTTCAGCATATTTTAATTTTCTTCTCAATCTTTTTATTTCCTCCTTATTTTCTCTAATTTCATTTTCCTTCACTTCTACCTCATTATTTAATTTTTCAAAAAAATTTTCGTCCCTTTTCTCAATTCTTTTTAATTTATTTTTTAATTTATAAATTTCCAAATCTTTTATATTTAATTGTTGGGCTAATGTAAATACTAATTGAGCTATTTGGTTATTATTTGAATTATTTGTTGTTGTATTGTTGTTACTCACATTAACCCCATATTGTTGTAGTAACCTTTGTTCTATTAAATGTTGCTTATGTGAGAGGGTAGGAGAGTAATTAATTAATGATTCTGATGGTTCTGAAATTTTTAAAAAATTATTTTTAATTAAAAAAACTGCAAGCTTTAAGGGAGAATAGGAGAAATTAAAGAAAAAAGTCCGCAAAATATTTGCGGACAAAAATTTGATCCGCAAAAAATTTGCGGACAAAAATTTTATCCGCAAAAAATATGCGGACAAAAATTTAAAAATCCGGAAAAAATTTGCGGACAAAAATTTTGATCCGCAAAAAATATGCGGACAAAAATTTATGATTTTTTAAATTTATTATTAACCTCCAAGGTCTTTCCTAATCCTCCCAAAATAAGCACGCTTCCCCTCCGCTATTAGCTGCATCTCTGTTGGAAATAAACTTGTACAAGTATTATTACAACATTCAAACAATCCATTACTACAACCAATAATTCCTTGAGTAGAGGATGAGGAGGAAGGTGTAGGACAACAAATTTTTTGAGTAAATGAGGACGATTTTCTTTGAATTGTTTCTGTTGAAGCTGGATTTGTAAGGGTGTTTTTACGTTGTTTAATATTTAAAGAGGATTTTTGAAGTTGGTCACAAAGTTGGGAATCATAAGAGGTCGATTGAGTTATATTTTCGTTTTTGGAAGAGGATGAGGACTATTGAAAAAATAATTAAAAATTAAGTTTACAAACTTAAAATCAATTAAGTTTACGAACCTTTTTAAAGAATCTGCTCTTCATAATTGTAGTAAATAAAACTTGAGAGTTGTAAAAAAAGTTCTTACAATTATAACTTGTATAATTCAAGTTCTATAAAGTTTTTAAGTTTACAAACTTAAGTTTTAAGTTTTTTTAATACCTAATTCAAGTTCTAAAGTGTTTTTAAGTTTGCAAACTTAAGTTTAAGTATTATAAATTAAAGTTTTAGTTTTACAAATGTTGATATTTTAAGTTTTACAATAATTGTAAAAATATTTTAATAGCTGCAAATAACAAAAAATATTTAATAAATTTGTAGTAATTATAGTACTAAAAGCAGGGAGGGGAAAAATGAATATAAATATTTGTAGTTATTTTTTAGTCACGTGAACTATAAAATTATTAGTTTACTTCGATGTATCATTCCATTTATTTTTTGTAATTTTTTAAAAAATTATAGTTTGTTATTTTAATTTTATCTAACAAATTTTATCTATTAATATTTTTTATCTGTCGTGAGGGTTTGAATTTAACGGTGTTTGGGGTATTATTTTATTTGATTTGTAAAACCTGAGACACAAAGCTACTAAACAAAACCAATTTTATTCAAGTGCCGCGCTTTAAAGAAAATTGGTCAATTGGATTGGGAGGGAAATTTATGGCAATGCCGAAGAAAGATGGGAAAAATAAAAAGAAAATAGAAGCAAAAATAATAAAATAAAAAATTTGTTTAGAGGGTCTATCGCAACATTAATTAGCAAGGAACAATTTAAAAATAAAAATCCGCAAAATATTGCGGACATAAAATTTTTGATTTTAGTCAATTTAAGCTAAATTAAGATTGTGGAGGGTATAGGGCACTCAAGTCTGGCGCCGAGCACTGACGAAAGTCGGAAAATAACTACCACCCCTTGGGTAAAAAAGCTTTATCCTCTTTCTAAGGGTACCCAGTTGCTTCAGAAGATAAAGAGTTCGGGCCTAGTTACCAAACTTGTGACTCTTAATCTTACAGACATAATTTACTATTGTGCCAGCCACTCCAGCCGACTTATAGGACTTAAGCTGGGCCGGTCAATTCCATATTTTTATCAATTATAGAAGGAAAACTAGCCTTTAATTTAATAAAAATAAGCATTAATTTAATCAAAAGTCAATGGGAAATTTTTTTATTTAGGGAAATATCCTTCCTAGAAAATATCCTTTATTGAAGAATAAAATATCCCTCCAGAAAGCAGATGTATAGAATATTTAAGCATATTTTATATATTCACACATTTGTGTTGTGTGAGCAAATATATATCAAATTTCACTTTTTTCTTGGAAAATGAGGATATATTGGGGAGAATGGCTTTAAAAAAATTTTATTTAAATATTTCATGATTTATATGGAGGCAATTTAATTAATAGCAGTTAAAAACCAAAATGCCTGCGGATATCCGCCTGTATCCGTCTGTACCGGCGTAAATATTCGGATACGAATACCAAAATCAGTATCCGTGACCAGGTCTGTTCTGTAGTCATATAAGTAAATTCAAGACCCATAAATTTAATAACTAAGCCCGGACCAATATTTTAATTTTCTGAGGCAACTAGGCTGTCTTATAAATTGAAACAGCCCAAATTACTGATTTAACTTGGAACCAAAATGACAGAATTTTTAATAAACATTGAAAAATTAATTTTAAAAATAAAAAACGGGCAGGATTTGTTATTCTACGTAATGGCACAGACAAATAAAAATAAAATAAATTCACATAAAGTGTGGCGTATGCCCATACAAAGCTAGTAACACAAATTATTCTCTCTCATCTCCTATTACTATAATATAACTCTCACTAATCCCGTTCTTGGGAAAGTTGGGCATTCTTGGCCTTAACTTAAGCTAATTTATTTTTGTCAAATAGAAATGTGTTCCTCTCTCTCGGCCGTTTCATCCTCTTTTGGGGCCAGCTGCACATCTCAAATAAGAGGCCTATTAGAGTTTTGTTGAATTCTATGGGAGGGAGGAACTTGGGAAGGATAAACTAATACCAAGATAATTAAATATAGAAGGGATGTGTCGGGTTAAGAAAAAAGTCGGGTTGAGTTTCGAGTCGAAAGAAGTCCTGGTTTAGGGTTTTTGCTTCTATCAGGGATTACCTCGGATATATTTAATTTATCAATAAATTCGAAAAAATATTTTTAAAAAAGTTTATTCATTATAAGAGTGTAATAATAAGTTTAACTGTTTCCATTATTCAATTATTAATTTTGTTTTATCCGCTGGTTTATTCTTTTTCCTAAATTTATTTTTTAAATTAATTCTTCTAAAAAAATTTTTTTACAATTTTCCAAGCCATCTAACAATTTCTACAGGAATAGGCAAAACAATTGTTTGATTCTTCTCAGCACTAATAGCTTTCAATGTTTGAAGCATTGCTAAATGAATAGCTGAGGGAGATTGAGAAATTAATTCTGCGGCTTGGTATAAAGCTCTAGAGGATAATTCTTCTCCTTCTGCGGCTATTACTTTGGCACGCGCTTCGCGTGTTGCTTCTGCTTCTGCTGCCATAGCTCTCTATAAATAAGAAACTCATAATTGTTTCAGAATTACTATGAGGATTATTATAAGAATACTTATCAGAAGTAAATCATAATTATTATCTGAATTAATATCAGAATTAATTTAGAATTAATTTCAGAATTAAAATAAGAATTATTATATATTTTATTAAACCAGAGGTAAATTATTATTAAGATCAGAATTATGATTTAATTATGATTATTAATTCTGATCCGAATTATTATTAAGTGTATAAAACAGAAAAATCAGAACTATTTCACAATAAAATCAGAATTTCAAATCGGAATTTTAAACCAGAGTTTTTAAATCAGAAATTAATTTTTAAAGCACCTGAAGTTGATATGGCAGTCTGACATCTTTAATCTCAACTCTCTCCACTTTTACACCCCTTAATTTTCTAAGAATTAATTTAACGTTAAAATTTATTGCCATGGATAGGTTGCTTCATCCAGTGTTTCCTGAAAATATTTTCTTTAATTTTTAGAATTATTTTCTTTGAATTTATTTCCTTAAATTATACCTGTATTTGAAGGCTAATTTGTTCTCTATCGCTAAAAATTTTTAAAATTTAATTTTTGAGTTAATTTCGGCTCGATTTTTAAAAATTGGAAGTCAACTTCGATTTAAATCACAAAAATCCTAATAATTCTACCTAAGCATTTCAGCCAAAGTTTTAGTTCCAAGAACATTTCTAAGGGTTGTTTGAGCTAATAATTTAGTAGAACGACTAGAATCTTCCACGTTAGTAACAGAAATTGTAGCATTAGAAATTCTAAAGTAAACAACTACATCTACCGCCACCGTTACTGCGTCTCTCGAAAGAATCTTGAATTTTCGGAAGGATTTCAGGATTTTTAAAATTTTTAAACCTCTTGGGGTTGTACATCGAAAGTTAACACTCTATAGAATAATTATTGAAAGCAAATTAAATTAAAAAAAAATACCTAAGATCCACAATTCGAAAATTGTCAATGCAAGGGTTAATAAAGAAAAGGCCTAGGGAAAGGTTAAGAAATAATAAGTCCAAGATTCCAACCTGGCCCTCTGGCACCGCCAGGAATTAACCTTCCCAAGCGGAAAATAACAGCACGTTCATATTCCTTTACAATTTTAATGCAAAAGAAAACTGAAATGGGGGCTGTCAATAATAAGAAGATTGTAGACATTATTGTAAGCATGTAGCCACAGAATCCAAGATTTCCGGTAACCGGTTCTTAATGTAAAAAAATTGAATATAAAACATTTTTTAAGCTCTTTGAACACACGGTTGATTCAACCTATTAGCCAAGCTACTAATTAAAAAATAAAAAAGGAGCTTTTCAAACACATGTTCGATTCGACCTATTAGCTAAGCTACTATTTAAACTTGACAAAAAATGAGAATACAGGACAATAAACTTAAAAATTAACTTGAATATAAAACTTAAGATTACAAAAAAGATTCTTAAGACTATAATAATAAAAAATAAAATTATTACGGTCAGCAAAGAAAATAGCTTCATGAACACCCGGATGTCTCGATGGCTGTGTTTTCCATCTAGCTACAGAAGATTTATGAAGTAAGGGTGGAGGCGATTTTACAGAATGATGCAGTAAAGGGATTCTCTGTTGTTGATGGATCCTTGAAGTTGTAATGTCTCTAAATGAATGGCGACGTTGATAGAGGAAAGAGTGATGGGAAGAGGATTTGGATTGACTACCAAGAGCTACAGGGTGCATTGGCATCATGTTGCTAAATGGCTCCCATTCGACTGATGCAGCACCAAAAATCTTAAACACGGATCTATTTACTTATTAACTACATATATTTTATTAATTATTCCACTTAAATTAATCACATAAATACTAATTATTAATTACCATTTTTTAAAGTTAATTCTGTTTGCAGGACGAAGGAATTATATTATTCCTGAAATAATAAACTTAAGTCTGTATTTACACTTAAATTTAACCTAAGTTTGTAAACTTAAGTAAAATAAAAATAAAACTTGTTTCACTCAAAAATCATAAACTTAGGTTTTTTACTATACTCTCACACACTTTATAATCTAAATCTAATTTTAAAATGGATATGAGAAAATTTTATTAGTTTTTTAGTAAATTTCCCATACATTAGGATTACACCTACTAATTCGTATTTTTGTTAATTTTAGTCCCAAACATTTCTTGGATATTTTTCAGTGGCGTACAAGCGAGATTAATAAAATTATAATTATATTTGGGACTCTAGACCGAGCTTTTTAGACGCAAGGTGGATTTGACCTATTAGCTGAGCTACTTTTTGTGACTCTTAAGTGACCTAATCCGTGCCCTTAAAATTTTCAGCTGAATGAAAGGAGTGGAGGAAGCTTTTAACAAAGGTTATAAAGGAATGCTAAAAAGGAAAATAAAGAAATTTTTTATTAAATGAAGGATAAAACAAGCTTCTCCTCGTAATAAACCATTTTTAGACATTTTTCTCACCCATCACATCTTATTTTTCTTCTTTTTCTTCTTGCAATTTGGCCAATTTAGGAAAGTAAAAAGTGCAAAAAATGTACTTACAAGTAGCAGTAAATTTTATAATTAAATGAAGTTGATTGGTGAAGAAAGAAAAATAATAAAAAAAAGAATGGGCAATTTCCTAAATTTAAACAATGGAAAATTGGAAATAAAGAAAATTTATTTTTATTCATTAAATAATTTATATAAGTTTTTAAAAAATATTTAAGTTTGAATTATCTCAAATAATCCATCTTCTGTTCAAGTATTCAACACGGAGGTAATTCGTCAGCAGCAACAAGTTGATCCCAAGTCTCTTGAAGACAAGCATCGGGTTTTGTTTCAGGTAAGCAAATGCTCTGTAAAATAAAATAAGGAAGCTTTTTAAACACGAAGTGAATTCGACTTATTAGCCAAGCTACTATTTAAAAAATAAAATAGGAGCTTTTTAAACGCGAGGTGGATTCGACCTATTAGCTAAGCTACTATAGAAAAAATAAAGAAGCTTTTTAAACACGAGGTGGATTCGACTTGTTAGCTAAGCTACTATTTAAAAAATGAGCTTTTTAAACACGAGGTAAATTCGTTCTATTAGCCAAGCTACTATTTAAATAATAAAATAGGAGCTTTTTAAACACGAGGTGGATTCGACATATTAGCCAAGCTACTATTTAAAAAATAAAAAATGAGCTTTTTAAACGCGAGGTAAACATGACCTATTAGCCAAGCTAGTATAGAAAAAATAAAGGAGCTTTTTAAACACGAGGTGGATTCGACTTGTTAGCCAAGCTACTATTTAAAAAATAAAATAGGAGCTTTTTAAACTCGAGGTGGATTCGACCTATTAGCCAAGCTACTATTTAAACTTTTAAAGATAGAATTAAAACCGTGTGCATGCCTTCCTCCTTTTCCCCAACACAAGCTTGCCAATTACAAAGACCCAAATATTTCGGTGGAAGTGCACAATAGGCAGTTTCAATTAATAAAATGCAAATAAGGCAATAAATAAAAATTGGACGAGGCATTATTCGAAAGAAAATAATTTTTTTAAATTCTGAAATATAATCATAAAAACTACAAAAGGAGCTTCTTAAAAGGAAGGTGGATTTAAAAGACTAAATGAGCTAATATGTAAACAGTGCCTATACATAGATTTCAATTTTTTAATAGTCCTTTAATAATGTTGAAATTAATTACTATTTACTAATACTCGCGTTTAATAGAAAATATTTATCACACACACCTTACCGGTTGAACAAATAAAAAATAATAAAAAATTATTATTTACTGCATGAGATAACGCCTTTACAATTAACGCTATAAAAAAGGAGTTAGAGTCAGAGTATAGCCTAGTTAATCCCTTATAACTCTAGAAATTTTGAACCTTTTGAGCTGTTTTTGGTATTGTTTAATAGATAATTAGATTTGCCATAAATTTAAATTCAAGATTGAATTATAACAAAACTTATAACGACGACAGGAATAGAAATGTTCATTCCTTTTCAGTAAACATTTACTAAATGAATCGATGGTTTAATAGTAAACCAAATATACCCCCACTTGTTTTTAATGTTCTTTACTTTTAAGAAAACTAGTAATAAAACTCAGCTGACGAAAAAATGTGGTTATTTGAATGTTATTTCAAATTAAAAACTTTTGCTCAATAAAAATTCAATTTACAAAAGGAGCTCTTTAAACACGTTTAGGATTTGCCTTATTAGCCAAGCTACTATCAAAAACTTTTATTTAAAATTAATTAAAATCACAATATGTGTAAAATATTTTTCTTCATCGTTATTATATCAAATCGTTCAAAATAGTGAACAAGATTGCATCTTTGTCTTCAAATTATTATAGTCCTGTTCCGAACATTTTGCCGGAAGTGTATCAGGCACACAGTTGACAGTGAAGGTCGGCTAAAACATTTTATTTTTTGATAGGCTCTCAAATCTAATTATAAAGTTAAACAGACCAAATCTTTCTTTTCCAAACAATTGCGTTCTGAATCTGACAACGGTATGGGTACTACATTAGCTCCACCAACAATAGGCGAAGGTTGTTGAGGACTTCCACTATTAAAATCATTTTGTGGTTCTCCAATGTAAAACGATTTTACAAGGATAAAGAAAAGAGTAAATTGAATAATGAATAACATAATTTTTTAATAGATAATTGTCTGAAAATTTTTTGAGTAAAAAGTGTATACATAACGAGCTTTTTAAACACACGCAGGATTCAACTTGTTAGCAAAGCTACTTTGTAATTAAAATAGATTAAGCAATTAATTTAGAAATACAAAAATAAAATTAGCAAATAGAAATAGCTAAATCTTCATATTTACTAATAAACATGATTAGAATGTGAGTTTCTCAATAATAAATATAGACAAGCTAAGCTAACACAGACTTGCTTTATCTACTCATTTCTTTATCTAAAAAATAAAAACTGATTCTCTTTCATTTTTATTTTCCTCTCAAAATGATTCATCTATTTAAAATAAGTTGAACAAACAAACTATAAGCTTATTTATTATTATTATTTTTTAGTAAAAAATTTTGAAATCTTAAGAGACGATTCAATTAAAAGTCAAAACAAAAGTACATTTTTTATTTAATGTTTAATTTTTTAAATTATGTATAAGAAAAATGGAAAATAAAATAAAGTTTTATAGATTAGAGTGACGATAAGTAGTACAATAAGCCTTGTCATGGCAGTAATCGTGTGGGATATAAGTTCCTTCCCGTTCAAGCCGAATCCTATCAATAGGTGAATAAGGGCGGTGGTGCTGTTTGACTTAAGTTTAAGCTTGAATTTTGAGAGTTTATGAAAGCATTATTTTTACCTAGCCAAAAGTGATCTTCTACGGTATCCTTTAAGTAACAAGTCTTATTTCATATCTGCTAAATTTAGGCTTACATTAGATGCCAATGTTTGTTCGAAATAAAGGTGTGTTTTATTGTAAATATGCATCCTACTAAATCCGTAGTTTGAAGAACGGAAAGCACTCCTAGAAAATTTTTTTATAAAAGTTCCAGAGCATCTCATAAATTCAAAAAATTTTTTTGAGCTCACCAAGGATTAGGATCCTTCACAAAAGGGTCTGTATTCTCTTGACAACCTGCTGAGCCACTAACAATGTGTACAGGTGCTGGTGGATTAACATAAGGATTGCCTTGAATTTATGTATTTAATTCAAAAATAAAAAACACCAGTGCTAGTATTAAACGTTGTTCTGTTATAAACAGGAAACATTCGCTCAAATGTGTGTTCGTGTGCCCATAGCTCCAAATCTACGCCATACTTGTAGAAAAGTCTTGAAGTTTAATTTAGACAAGCTTAGTCTGGATATGCTGATCGATACCGGATCCGGGAAGGATATCCGGGATTTATTGGCTCAGAATCGGATCCGGATATGCGAAGATTTCCCAGGATACGCAACCCTACCCAGAGGATTTCTTTGTTATATTTTAGCACTAAGTCTTTACTTTTCTAAAGCATAGGCATGTATTCCAGGCAGTCCTGTACGTATCTAAATTACCAAAAAAATAAAATTACAATTGTACTAAAATTACAATAGAATTGTATTTTGTACAATCATCACCAGAATAGTCTTAAAATAATTTTTAATTTTTTAATAATCACAAAAGCTCTCAGTACCAGAACAATACATTGGTCGATGCCCCATTGTAATTATCCAAGGAACCTTTTCTCTATTTCTATTTGCTTTCTAAAATTTTTTAATAATTATTCTAAAATTTTCAAAAATTAATTTTAAACTTCAAGGTCTTGAATAAGCCAATGCCATTGAGTAGCTAGTTGATGAACGCCATATTGTAGAAAGAAGTAAAACTCTGTGGAGAAGGCTATAAAATGAGCTGGGCCGATATCAAAACTTGAAAAATTAATAAGAAAAGCTTTACAAGTTTACAATTCTCAAATAGAGTTGTAGGGAAGAGGTGGGTCTCCAATGCTTACCAGGCGAAGGTTTGAGGTGAATTAAAAGGATAAGGAGAATGCCATCACCTGTATGAGGTGAGCAAGAGCTATCACCCTTATGAGGTGAGTGAAAACGCCTATCAACAACTGCTAGGAGGTCTTAGGATTAATGCACTTATCTCATACTTAGAGAGGTAAACTAAGAGAGGATGATCATGCATTTACTTCTCTCCCCCCTTTGTCTCTGAGTTAATTTATCAATTACCTATAAAACAAGTTATGTTCAGTATTTGGCATAGTAAAACGATTCACATAATGAGAGAAATTGTAAGCATATTCATGATTGCCCACAACGACCATATAAGGAGCATATGCAGCAGCTGGCTCGATTTGACGCATAAATTCGTCTCCAAAATTGCCTTGATCCTTTAATATGATGTGGGGTGGATTAATTATTTAAAGTTTACCGTATCCAAGTTATATGCCAAATCGCCTCAAAATTTTTTTAAAAAATTTAAAATTATTTTCCTTCGTATAATTTACATACCAACATGTAAAATCATGTCAAAATCCCCATTTTGTGCTTCTCTTTGTAATTTTCCAAGAGAACGGGCATTTACATTACCCATATCACCATATACCGCAAATCTTTTAAGAATAAAAATTTAATAAAAATTTAGGCTAGTAGATAACCTATAGCCACCATCCGGCCTTTCTTCAAGTCCAACAAACGAAAATATAGAACTCCAGCCGTATTGAGAGCCGACTCGATAAACTTTATAAAAATCAAGTTTTAATCGACAATTGAGGTTTGAGACTCACAATAACGTATTCCTGGACTTATTCCTTCAATTAAAGCTCGATGTGTGTACCTTCTAACTTTATTAATACCCCCATCATCGAAATAATCCATCTTTGCTTCAACTCTTTTTAAATTCTGAATTGAATCAACCCAATATTCAACGATAGATTCAACTGTGTCATCAAAAGTTAACCAAGTAATAAATATACGGGATGGATCTCCTTTTAGTTTTGGATTAATTTTGAGTATATTATAGCTATTTTAATTACCTCCATAAGATAAATGAACTTGTTCTGGCTGTCCATAATATGGACCTGGAAATTATATATTATTAGGTATTTGATTTATTCGCTGAATGATTTTAAATTATAAAAATATTAAGTTTAGACTTAAGTTCAGTTAAAACATTAAGTTTACAAACTAAGTTTATAAAAAATAAAAGTTGCAATTAAAATTCAGTTGCCTTCAAGTTTATAGACTTAAGTTTTTTATAGACTTGAGTTTAGCAACTTAAGTTTTCACAAACTTAAGTTTAGACTTAAAACTTAAGTTTAAGCCTCAAACTTTATCTATAAGTTTAATAAACCTTTAAGGTTGTAAACTTTGATAAACTTGAAATTGCAAATAGGTTTAAAATTAAGTTAGCACTTTATAATTAAGCAAGTTTTAATTTGTAAATTTAATTTAAAAAAAATTATAGATTTAAAATTTAATTATTAATTATAAACAAACGAATATAAAATTAATCATTATTAATTCCAAAAATTCTCAATTTTTAAATAAATATCTCCAACCTCTATTATTAACATTTTCCCCATCTTTAGCCTTCCAATGAACATTTCTAAAGGGATCCCGCAGAGGAATTCGATTTTTCTCTAGAGGGAATTCATTAATAATTGCTTTTGGAATAATTTTTGATTTTAAAGTTGTTTTAACAAATTCTTTGGCCAAAACATTTTTGAAAGAATAAAGGAAAATTAAATGGAAAAATAAAAGAAAAATTTTAAAATGATTCATAGTTGCCATTTTTGGCTGAAAAATTTTTTATAAGAATTTATTTATTTATGTATGTATTTTTTTTATTATTATTTTTTAAATTTAAAATTAAGAAAATAAATTAAAAATTTTAATTATTTTTTAATTTAAAAATATTTTAAAGAAATATTAGGGTATAACTTTCATGGAGAAAATTCTAATACAAATATTCTGAATTTTATTCTTCATTTTTAGACTTACATTATTGCCTGACATTTTTTTTCACTTTTTCAGACACTTTCTGGCCAGACACTTTTTTAAAAATAAAATTTAAATTTTCCTTAGTTAAAAAATATTTTAATTTTATGCAAAACAAACAAAAAAGTATAATATTTTAATATTCTAGTTCTGTGGAAATGAAAAAATGAACGACTGATTATGTTCAAAAATATTCCTTCCCCTTTTAATATTTCTAAATATTCACAGAATTTTTATTTTTCTTCATGTTTAAGCCATTTATTTTCATCGACACAAAATTGATAAAAATATCAATTTTATGCACCATATGCTTGCTCTCTTATCAGTTTTATCTAAATTTTAATTCTTTAATTATAAACTTGAGACAAAAATATGATAAAAATAGAAGTAAAAAATAAATTCAAAATTAAGTTTAAAAATTTTTTAATTCCATAATATTTTAACAAATTTATCCCTTTAAAAAGCAACATTTTTAAAAAAACTCAATAAAATTTTACTTAGAATTGTCTCATTTACTAAATTAGAAAACGGCAAAAGCCATAAAAGGAAAATTTATTAACTTTTTAAATTTAAAGGCAAAAAAGTTCAAACGAGACAAAAATCGTTAAAAATACCTCAACTCTAGTTTTAAACTATCAAAAAAATTTTTAAACCTTTGAAAACTATTTAATTTCTCCTTCAAAAGAATTCAAAAGAAAATTTAAAAAATTTATTTGATTTAATGCTTATTTCTATACAATTATTTTTATTTATTTTTTGTTACATCATTCACCTATTTATTTTCTCTTCATTAAAATAACAGTCTTGTTCTCCCCATCTGATGCCACTTTAAAAAATCCTTAGCTTTTCCCTCTCTCTATAATATTCCCGTTCATTTGTTCCCCAATATTTGCTCAAAACATTTCCTCCAAAAATATTCAACTAGAAACACAGTCACTTTTTTAGTTTATTTTTTATTCTTTTTTCTTCAATATTATTTTAATCTTTCCTAGAAGATCAAAATTTGGGAGATCAACAGAAAAATTATTTTTATTTTGTTCCAAAAGAATAAAATTATTTTTTTTCTATTAAATTATTTAAAAATGTTTCCTCAATTTCTCTCAAGTCTGAAGAGTGTAAAAACTCACAAAAGATTTAAAATCACAATTATAAACTTTTTTTGAAATTTATCATAAAAATTCGCAAACTTGAATTATTTTATCAAGTAAATACAAATCAGAATATATTCGTTTTCTCTTCAGAAATCAGAATTAAGTTTTAAACTTAAGCTTGAACTTAAGTTTATTAATTATTATTTATTTCAGGAGGACAAACTTTCCGGAAGACACACTTAAAATTTAATTATAATTTTAAGTTCAAGCTTGAATATGCAATCTTAATATTTTCCTGAATACTAGAGAACTTTCCGTAAGACACTTGAAAGTTTAATTATAATTTTAAGTTCAAGCTTGAAATTGCAATTTTAATATTTTCTTTCCGGAATACAAACTTTCCGGAATTCCTTAAGTTTGTATTTTTATTTAATTCCTTAATAGTTTTCCGGAAACTTAATTTTCCGTAAAATCTTCTCTTACGTCTTGATTAATCTCACAATTCATTAATCAATCATTTTCAACAATATTCTCTTAAATTTATTTTTTTATTTACCCTATCAAATTTCTGTGATTGTTAAATATAAATAAATTTCCCATCATTTCTTTTTGTTATTTTTTTAAACCTTCAAAGGTAAACTTACTTTGTTTATTTAATATATCCTTCGTGGGACATCCACAAAATTCTCATTGTTGAATAAAACTCTTTTATTTCCTTCAAGTATCCCTCAAAATTTTAATTCTTTGTTAAAAAATTTTTTTAAATAATTTTGAACATTTTTTTTCAAATTTTTTATGATGGGTTCGTTAATCAAAAAATTTTTTTGTTCATTCTTGAATTTCTAAAATTTTTTTTCTTAATTTTAAATTTTTCATATGCGACATAATCTCACTTTAATTGAAGTTGGATGGCTTTGTCCTGCATTATTTTCATTATTAAGAGTCTCCCCCCAAATTAATGCTGATCAAAATTCCAAAACTTTATTAAAACTTATAAATGGGTCGGATTGTAAATGGCCTAATGGTCGAAATGAATTAATGAATGCATTAATAGAAAAGGCTACAATTAGTGGAAATATGAATAAAGACTACGTAAGTGTGTGAAAATAAATTTAAAATGCTTTCCGGAAAAATACCTAAGTCAAGTTTAAACTGGAAAAAATATATTTTCTATCCGGAAAGCAAGTTATAGTTCCGGAAAACTTAAGTTTGTAAACTTAGAATTGATAATACTTTAAATAAACTTTCTTGAAAACTAGAAAATCAAGCTTAATCTTGAAAAAGTTATTATTTGGTTTACGTACGTTTCCGGAAAACAAATTATATTATATTTCCGGAAAACTTAAGTTTGTAAAATTAGAATTGATAAAACTTGAAATAAACTTTCCGGAAAAATAGGAAATCAAGTTCAATCTTGACAAAAATATCATTTGCTTTATGTACGTTTCCGGAAAACAAATTATACATTTAATATTTCCGGAAACTTAAGTTTGTAAGAAAGTTTTTAAAAACTTAAAGGGTCCGGAAACATTTAGAAAATAAGTATTGATTTCTCAAGATTAAGCTTAAATTTCTTAAAGATCCAAATTTAAAAATCTCTTTAAAAGGCAGGAGAGCATTTTTTGCGGAGTAAAAAGTTGGATAAAATTGAATATCATCAAGACTTGAAGATTTCAAAGGAAGAAAATAATTTTGAAGAGGACGAAGAAAATCCTCATTTGATTTGGGCAATGACTGTCATATATTCGTTGATAGCCTTAATAGGGATCATTGGAAATATATTAGTGATTGTTGTTGTGAAGAAAGTGCCGAGCATGGTAGAATTATTAAATAAATTTTCTTTAAGATTTATTCAAGATTACACCAACCAATTGTTATTTGGTATCCCTGGCTTTATCAGATTGTCTTTTTCTTTGTGCGGCTTGGCCTGTAGAATTTAGCTATCTACATGCGGATCAGAATGATTATGCTTTCGGGGCTATCGGCTGCAAGATACTTACATTCCTTCCATATTTGGGGATTAATGCGAGTGGGTTTTAAGACTAAATAATTTGAAATTTAAAGTTTTAATTGTCAAAGAAAACATTTTAGTTTAAGATCAGTAAAGTATTCTAAAATAATATTATTAAGCTTAAGTTTAAGGGAAAAGACTTAAAATTAACTTGATAAATTTTTATGTCTTCCGAAAACTTAAGTTTAACCGGAAAGGGATGCATTGTTAATAATTAAACTTAAGTTTCCGGAAAGACTTAAAAATTACTCCAACAATCAAACTAGAATTTTTATTTCCGGAAAAACAAAATCCCTACATATTTTCAGGTTCAATGTCAATTATGGCTTTTACAATTGAGCGATTTATTGGAATATGCTACCCCTTAAGAGCCCGGTTTTTAATCTAATTTCTAAAAATTTTAATCATATAATTTAAAGATATATTTGTACTGTAAAAAGAGCCAAATTAATTATTCTTTTTATTTGGTGCTTTTGTATTCTTTATAATAGCCCTTGGCTTTACTTGGCTACTCTCAAACAAATTGAAGGTGTTGTAGGAGGGAGAGAATGCAGTTTTAGATTATCGAGGGATAACTGGAGTTATAAGGCAATTTAATTTTTTTATTCCAATTTTTTTTCAAAAATTTTTTTAAATTTCTTAGGTGGTATTTGTTGCCGATTTTTCTACCTTTTACATTTTGCCAATGTTCCTCTATATTTATTTATATGGCAAAATAGCCTATACCCTTACAAAGTGTGAATGGGTTATCGGAACGGGTAGTGCTACTCGCCTTGTTAATAATAGTAAAAATGATGGGAATCATAATAAAAGTAGTAAAAAATTTTTTTTAATTACCCAAATTTCTCACAGATTTTTCAATATCAGCCGCTAAGAGTAGTATTAATTCTCAATCAAGTGTTAAAGGTTCAAGTAGATCCCCTATTAAATCTAATGAACCAGAATCTCAAACAAATAATATTGGGTCTTCAAACTCTAGACGTGCTTCTACTAGTGTGAATAGTAAATTACAGGTAAGAAATACTTTTTCCTAAAAATAAAAAAAATTTCAAAAAAAATTTCAAAAATTTTCTGGAAAATTTTAAAAAAATTTTCAAAAAATTTTATTTCCAAAGGTAATTAAAATGCTTGCCTTAGTAGCTTTTATTTTTGCCGTTTGTTGGTTACCTTATAGGGCTATGGTTATGTACAATTCTTTTGCTTCTGCAATTAATTGGGAACCTTGGGATTATGATTGGTAAAGTATTTTTGGAGAAAAAATTTTTATTTAAAATTTAGGTTAATTTTTATGTCCAAAACAATGATTTTCTTCAATTGTGCTATTAATCCAGTCCTTTACAATTTAATGTCCAGTCGGTTTCGAAAGGCTTTTAGACAGCTACTAAGAGGGCAGAAGAGGCATATTAATGTTTATAAACGTGAATAAATTATAAACAAAATTAAAAATTAACTCAATTTCAAGGCGGATCGTCTTATCTTCACGATCAGAATAAAAAGATTAATGGAGATGAGGCGACAGAGATGACAGCAGATATAAAGAGATTTAGCACGATAGTTACTTCGGGAAGGGAAGAGGAATGCTTAAATGGGACCTTAAATAATTAATAAAAAAATCATTGAGTTTAAGCTTAAAACCTCCTTAAGTTGAAGCTTGAAATAAACTTTGCGGAAAGATAAGATTTAAGCTTGAACTTGAAAAAATATTATATTTCCGGAAAGCTCAAGTTTGTAAGACCTAATATTTCCGGAGTTGAAAACTTAAGATTCCGGAACAAAACTTAAGAACAGAACAATGCTTTCCGGAAAGATAAGAAGCAAGCTTGAACTTGAAAAAAATTTAAGTTTCCGGAAAACAAGTTAGCATGGAATATTTCCGGAAAACTTAAGTCTGTAAAACCTAATATTTCCGGAGTTGAAAACTTAAGATTCCGGAACATTTGGTTTACAAGTCCTAATTTCATAAAACTTAGTTTCCGGAAACACTTCGAAAATACGGAATACTTTTCAAGATTAAACTTAAGCTTTTTTAAAATTCTCAATTCAAAAATCTCTTTAAAAGGCAGGAGACTTTACAGCATTTTAGAATTCTTTTTATATTTTAAAACAATAAATATACACAACTATTAGCACAGAAAAACCATATGTATATCTATTTACAAATTAATATTACAACCAATTTAATAATCACTATAGGTTTTACAATCCTTTCTCTCAATCCTTTTGGTTGTTGTTTCTTCCTTCTTTATGATTGTTATTGTTCATCTCTTCCTTTCTTCTTCCTCTTTCAACTTCAATGTCGACTATCCACGCCTTTCCCTTTCCCCGCCTTCTTCTTGCTTCTGTGGCTGCTCTCCTTCGGATGCTTCTTTTTGATCACGTCAATCTTGAGCAGTTCGAAATATCCGATCATCTAAAAATTAAGGAGGATTAAACTTCATCTAGAAGACTTTAAAAATTCCTTACATATCCAATCCCGACGAGTACCAGAACAGAGAGAATCTCATTCCACGACGGCATCTTCTTTCTATCGAGTAGAGGTTGCTTTGGAGAGTTGTAGAGAGTGAATTTAGGGGGGAAGAAAAATACGAGCTTTTTATACTAGGATTTACTCTACGTTTTACTAAGCTCCTAAGGCTAATTTTAAAAATCCGATTTTATTTTTAAATTTATCATAGAAATTTAAAAATATAAATATACTTAATCTTGAGGAATTCGTTAACAAAATAAGTGAAAATTATAGGATTTATAAACTCGGAAAACAGTAAATTAGTGTTAAAAATTCTCTCATTCAACTTTTATTTTTTACAATTTTTCCAATTTGTTGCGCACCTTTTTTTACTAAATCCTTGTGTTGCACTGCAAATTTAGCCACTTCGTACGTTGCTGTAAATTTATTAGAAAATTAAGGACCTTTGATATTCCGACCTTTGATATCATGACATTTGATATCCCGGCCTTTGACATCCCGACATTTGAGAACACGACATTTGATATCCTGACATTTGATTTCCCGACACTTGATATCCCGACATTTGATATCCCGACAGTTGATAACACGACATTTGCGTGAACAACAATTAGGTATCTAACTTGGGGTGGGGGGTGTCGGTATTTTAGAACAAGACACTATGAACTCAAAATTCGATGATAATAAAAACCCTACCCAACAAAGGCAATCCACCAGCCCCCAGCATGATAGAAGCCCCAACTGCATCAGCTACTGTAGTGGCTGCCTTCTTCGTAGCATCAATGGCAAATTTTTTGACTGGATTTTTTTCATCCGATTTTTTTGATTTTTCTTTTGTTTTTCCTTTCTTTTTATTATTTACGATTTTTTTGCTTATCGTTTTTCCTTTTGTTTCATGAATTTTTTTGGTTACATCATTTTTCTTTTTATTTTGTCCCTTTACAGGCTTTACAGCCTTTCCTGAACATTCTAGCAATATTTCAATAATTAAAAATAATATCAAAATTTTCAAAATTGTTGAGGTTCTCATTAATTTTGAGAAGGGAATCTAATCATTTGGGAGAATTTTAAAAAATCTAGAATTTTTATTTTAGTTTTAAAAATTTTATGTAGGATGAGTTTACCGTATTTACTAAAGTTAAAAATTTGAAAAATGCCGGATCCGGTTTCGGGGATTTAAAAAAATTCTTATCCCGATCGGATTCTCCCGATTAAAATCCATCCCGATTTTTATCAAAACACTCGAATCGGGACTAGCGGTTTCCGTAGATCGCGACCCGGATCCGGTCTGGGTTTAAACTCTAGTATTTACTCAATTTTTCATTCCCTTATTAATTACCCCCTCAAACGAGGGGTTAAAACAAGCCAAGGTAATTATTTGAGTACTAAATATTGTAAATGTGTGTGCGCGGTTAACTTAAAGTGTGACAGTTGGTAGTGATTTTATGAAGCTGCTACAATTTTTAAAATTTTGGACCACCCATTAAATTTGTTTGTTTCATCACTAAGTTTAATGGCTAATAAGAAGTTTTTTCTTAATTACCCAATATTTCTTAATTAAAAAATTTTTTTAATTCGATTTTTTCTATAGGCGAGCGGGTAATTGACAGATGGAAGCGCGCAGCGCCCCCATCTAGTTATTAATGATTGATTTTTTGATTTTAAATTTTTCTGTCTGAATATTAATGTCTTTTATTGATTTAAAAATTAAATAAAAATATTTAAATTGAAATTTATTAAAAATAATAAATTAAAAAATATAAATAAAATTTTTATAATTTACTCATTTCCTCCCTCTTTTTTCTTGCTTCGCGCATTGCACTGCCTAAGTATTTTTCATGGAAGGGTAAGACCTGAATTTATAAAAAATGAATTTTACAATAGCTTAATTAAAAGTCTCTACCAGTGCTGGATATGGCACTAGGGCTACAGCTTTTTGGTTCCTTAACTAGAGCTTCGGTGGCGGAAACCTGCCAAGAGCGGTCAGTTTCCGGAGGCTCCTCTAGTCAATGACCCTTCCTCCTTCCCCTTCCTTCTCTCAAAAATTTCCACTAAAAATTTAAAGAACCCTTACATCATGCTCATTCAAAGGCGATTTCTTTGCCCATTCAAGCAAATTTTCATAAACTTGGCCATCTTTCCTTCCAAGTACAGAACGTAATTCTCTATCAGTAAAATCAAAAGAATCCACTAAAGCTACTGAATTTGGGCGGATTTTGGCCAAGCTAGTAAACAATTTTTTTCGAATAATACTCATTTGATGAGAAGAAAGAAAGCCTTCCTAAAGTAAAAATAGGGTTAAGTAATTTTGAATTTGAAAATAACGCGAGATTTAAGGCCCGACGTTTGAGAACCCGACATTAGTGGACACCGACATGTGATAACCTCCCTTTAAAAACCTGATATTTGAAAACACCGAATTAAAACGATAATCCGACATATGTATGTGATCACAACCTTTAGGAACCCAGCATTGAAGGACCCGACATTTGGTAATGACCCAACCTATCAAATGTCGAAGGACACACCCCTTTGAGAAACCGATATTGAGGACCTGACATTTGAGATCCCTGCATGTACCCCGACATTCAATAATTCGCCATAGGAGAACCCGATGAGGACCTTTCAACTAATATTTCTATCTCGCAACCTCAAGTAGACCAACAGAAGAATGCACCAATTCATACGTAAGATAAAGCCATAAAATATCCTCCATTACATACCTAACTGCAATATCCTCAATTTTTGGAATTGTCTCGATAAATATCCTAACCATAAATGTTTGTGTGTGTGCTTTTGAGGCCTTAAAATTTTTTAAATTAAAAATAGGATTTAACCAACATGACATAGGTGCACACCTGCTTCATTCCAAGCTTCTTCGGCAGACCTACCCAATTTTTTCTGTTGCTGAATATAATCAAAAGCTGATAAGATTAGACGACGAGAATTGTGTTCAAAAGCCGCCAAGTAGTCCAAAACCTAAAAAGGATTTTAGAGTTTCCTTCGCGAGTTATGTGTTTCGTTCCCCTTATCCTATGACAAGGTATGCTCCCTTCACCCTATAGCCATGTTCCCTTCACCCGATAACAATGTTCCCTTCACCCTATAGCCATGTTCCCTTCACCCCATAGCAATGTTCTCTTCACTCTATATTCATGTTCTCCTCCACCCTACTCACATTAGAATTTTCATTAATCTGACTGGAACTAGTAGGCTTTCTAAAAATATATCCAGTAATTGGATTCTTCATCTTCCCTTCATTTTCCTTCATCTTCTCAATAGAATCAGTAACACAGCTACATTCTGCTGCTACTTTCATTAAAGACCTAGCCGTTTGTAGCAACATAACAATATTTTCTCCTTCATAAGTCAAGCCTTTTTAATAAAAAAAAATTTATTTTGAACAGCAAAAATATTTTTTACTTCCAGCAACCATCGTATAAATTGAAGGGAGTCCGCTAGCATCAGAATAGCCATGCCCCCCACAAGCCAGTCTACATTGCTCTACTCCTCGGGTAATCTGCCAGCTTGTTACTGCTTTTAATCCCGATCCTAAGCTGTGGAGATCGGCTAGTAATGAGACATCTCCAGCATTAATATCCCCAATTACAGTGTGATAAAGTTGGTTAATATAGAGTCCAGTAAATGCAATGGCATAAACATGGGCTAGGACTGGGAAAAGCCGGTATTGTTGTGTTTTGTAATCAAGGACTTTTACTTCTCCAGCACTAAAATAATAATTTTATTTTAAAAAGTAAGTTAAACAGACAATTTTTTCGAATTTGGGGCCCTATTGGTGGTAGCCTTTGGAGGCCCCATTGGTGGTTTTTAGGGGCAAAATTGGCTTTTGGCTTTGGGGCTTCATTGGTGGTCTTATTGCCACCTAGTGGCAGGGAGCAGGAATTTTGGATCCATGTGCCGCTTTGTACATGGATCTCCTTTGATTCGGGAAGTCCCGTTGACAAGACAAAATGTCTAAAAATATTTACCCAGGTTTAATCTCTCCTTGCCGTCTAATACAAGAATATCTAATAGCAATTGTTGCCGCTTGAGCAAGGTAAATGGCATGTCCATAAATCATCATTGAGCGAACATACCTATAAAATCCTAACTTTTATTCAAAGAATAGGTTCGTACATCATTGAAGTATACCCAACTTTTGCATGTAAAGGAGGGACATATTCGCCAGAGGGGAGTACTTTTGCATGCTTCATTAGCATATGTCTTCTGGGGATACGGTAATTTTCAAAGCGCAAGAAGCCGTTGTCGTTTGAAGGTGTCCCCAATTTAGGGCCAATATCTCCGAGAGTAATGCCTTAATTTCAAATATTAAAATCAAATAAGCATTTTACAAACTACCAGGCAAAGATCTGTGTGTCTCCAAGTCACGCAGCTGTACCCAAAAAGGATGTGGCCCATAACACTTTCCATTAGTCCACAATTGGGCAATTACTACTGCATAATTGACAGACTTCCCTAGGGCTCCCGGCCACCACTTTGTTGCGGTAATTGTGGGGGTGTTTAGAATAAATTGTTCAGTTGAGGGGTCATAAGTTGCTGTTGTTTCTAATGCACGCAAATTTGTTCCTGATTTTATGAGGAAATTTTTTTAAAATATTCAAAAATTCCTTTACCATGCCCCATTTCTGTTTGGGCATAAGTTGCAATTAATTCTCTATTTAACAATTTTGGAAGCCATTCAGTTGCCTGGTCATCGTCACAGCTATTAATCATTGCAGGTACTGCCATTATTAGGTGCAGATGAAAGGGTGAGCCGTTAAATCCGCAGATTAGGCTGAAATAAAGAAATAATACAAACAGAAGATCAGAGTGTTCAGCTTGATTATGTCGGGTACTTATATGTCCTATTCTCAAAGGTCGATTACACAAATGTCCTGAACTTAAATGTCGTATTAGCAAAGGTCGGCTCCTCAGTTATTTACTACCTATTTCCCCCATTAGAATGCCCCTTCTATAATAGAATACCCCTTGAAGAGTGATTGAAAAATAGAAGGCCCCGGCATTCTATTAGAGGATATACGGTATATGTATAGGGGGGTATTCTATGTTGGATTCCAAAGGGGTATTCTATGTTGAATTCCCTCAATCCACGTATAAGTCTACCTGTTAAAATAAAATTGTTCTTCGGGTTTGAAGACATCAATCACCTTCTCGGCGTGATTAGCCATTGCTACTGACTAAAAATTTTTTTCAAATTTATTAAAATTTAGTATTCCTTACAAGCCTAGCAACATCCTCCATTTGTTCCATTCTAGTCATAAAAACCTCAGGCACCCTTGGCCGTAATTCTGCCCCCTGTGCTTCCACATATGATAAAATTTCTTTTCGCCTTTGTAGTTGGCCTTGCCAAAAGAAGTTTCCAAGTTTGAAAGGGTCAAAAGTTGCTTTACTTCGCTCTTCTGCCAAGTCCGGATTTACATTTAAATTACTATTGTCTTCTTTAATAATCATAATTTAAAGAAGGATGTCTACAGGAGGGTTTAAGGAGGATTTACGGAAGATTTAAAGGAGATTACTTTAAATACAAATATTAAAATAATAAATTTACTATAAATTTTGTAAAAATACAAAAATAAAAATAGTCAGTCCATATTTTATCGGTCAATAATGAATGGGGGGGGGGGGTTGGGGTTTTAGTGAATCGATTGTCTACGGGTAACCTTGACTTTTCCTTTATGTTTTACAACTACATTTGCGATAATTTTATTAAAAAAAATACAAAAAAATTTTATATATTAAAGATAAACAGGTTGGTCTGGCCTTAAAGCCCTCAGCCTTCTTAAATATTCAGCATCTCTTAAAAAATCAGACTGAAAACTGTTATATCTCATTGTAGAAAGTGTTGAACTTAGGGTGTTTTCGTCGATGAACCTCAACTAAATTAAAAATATATTATTTAAAAACTAGTATTTTCGTTCAAGAATTTATTTTTAAGGAAACACTAAGCAGTATAGTCTACCGGTCTGCATAGGTCAAGTATCATGGTAACAAAGTCGTGTCCTAAAGTGTAGTGCTCTTGGATGTCACCCCCCCCCCCCCCCCCCCCAAATATCTTTCACAATTGTAGGGTTCATGAATGTCGCGTTTTTAATGTCAGATGGTAAATGTCGGGTCCTAAGATATAGAATGTTCTCAAAGATCGGAGAGATTTAAAGGATCGTCTTTACCTTTCTCAATAATTCGTGTGGTTCATAAGCTCTATTATAAAGTTCATTTTCCAAGAAATTGCAGACATCGTCCAAAGTTATCTTCAAAAAATTAAATTAATTAATTAAATTAAAAAAATTAAATTCAAAAAATTAACTCTGAGACTCAAAATAGGAGGGGGGACAAATCGTTGAATTAAAAAATGGACTTCTTCATCCCATTTCTTTTGTTGTTTGTTGGCTTGGCGCACAAGTAAATTAAGAAGAGTATCTATCAAGGTTCGATTCTTCACACCAGCCAAGTAAAGTTAAAACAAATTTGTCCAAATGTGTTGAACCATTATGCTCGAGTAAATGAAAAACATTTTCCAAAATTGGTTGATCATCTTCAGTTTTGGAATTAATGAGTATTCGGCTTTTTGATACCAACAACAAGCAGACTTTTTACAACATCCCAATTTCCTATTGCCAAATCGATAGGAAATTGGCTTTCTCTTTTCAAACTTTTATTTAAATTTAGTCAAAATTAGGGAGTAGGAACCGGTCAACTTTAGTCGGAATCGAGACAATGAATGGATTTTGTCATTCTTTAAGTTTGGGTGTAGATATTTTGGGTGTGGATATTTAGGGTGTAGATATTCTGGGGTGGAGTCATTTTCAAGTGTTTCAGCGAGTTAAAAAAGAGATGAAAAAATTCTGCCTAAATACAAATTTTTCTTCTTATATCAAAAATAAACCCTCGATTAATTACTTATTTAGGCAAGATATAATTTTGTGGGAAAAAATTTAAATTTATGTACCGGAAATGTGTCTAAAAAATTTAACTCATTCAATATTTTCTTAAAATTATATGTATATACATACATCAATATTCTTATGAATTAAATATAATTTCGATCGCTATTATTTCAATTTTTAAAAATTGATATCCTATCCCTCTCTCGGTGTCCGGAAAATTGGGCTCTGGAAAATTGGGCTCCAAGATTTTTCGGAAAATTGGGCTCCAACTTTTCGGAAAATTGGGCTCCAGCGGAAATTTGGGCTCTATGAGAAAAAAACGGAAAATTGGGCTCTAAAATTTTAGGCGCGGGGAATTTTGGGCGTCGAAGTGAATTTTTGGATTTCTCCGAAAAATATCGCAAAATTCTTTGAAATAACTATTTGTGCTGATACTTAGTGGGTAGGTCGGCATTTCAAAGCTGGAAATCAGTAAAAGGAATAGGTTTATGTTATTGTTGTAGACCCAGCGACCGTTGACTCCCGCGAGGCGCGTGCCGCAAAATCCCGCGCGAAGCGCGGGATTTTGCACAAGCGCCTCGCCGACATCCATAGGTTTACGTTGTTAGATTTTGTGTCATTTTTCGGAAAAATCCAAAAATTAACTTCGACGCCCACAATTCCCCGCGCCTAAAAAATTGGAGCCCAATTTTCCGTTTTTTTCTCATAGAGCCCAAATTTCCGCTGGAGCCCAATTTTCCGAAAAGTTGGAGCCCAATTTTCCGAAAAATCTTGGAGCCCAATTTTCCAGAGCCCAATTTTCCGGCACTCCCCTCTCTCATGCCATTCTCAAGAGCCCTCCCCCTAAAGAACTAAAATTATTTCATTCATTTGATAAATAAAAGGTTTTCTTTTACACGCACGTTTGATTAAGTGGTTAAGGGTTTTGCTTCATCGGGAAGGGTCCTCGATTAATTCTCCATTAATTCTCCAGCTTATTCAATATTTTAATAATTTTTTAACAGATAAAAAATAAAAAAATTAATTTAATTAATGGCACATTTTGAAAAATCATTAAGAAATGAAATTTTATTTTATAATAATTTTAAATATTACTTCAAAAGAAAAAATAAATTAATTCCCCGTGTTATTTGGGAATGTAAAGATGCAACGAAATTATTAAAATGTCGTGGTAGCGTTTATACGCTCGACAAGGAAGAGGGCACGGAAGTGTTTCCGATGAAGGAACACAATGCGGCCTGCATGGTGAAATAATTTTTTAATTTAAATTTACTAAAGAATTACCCCCTCCCTCAAATAATTACCCTTTACCTATTAATTTACTTATTTCAGCCAGAAGCTGAGAAATAGTTACCCGCCCTTTAAAGATATATTGATAAATTAGCCTTCTTAAAATAATCTAAAATCCCTAAAATAATCACTTTTAATTTTAATTACCTTCTCAGGCGAGAGGTTGAAACAATAAATACCCCATGGTAAATATTCGAACAATTACAATTAAATTTATAAAAAGGAAATTAAAACAAAAGGAGAAAATTTTTTAATTTTTTAAATAAACTTAGGCGCTTCGTTTGGGTAGAGTGGAGGTTGGTGAAGAGGAGGAAATTGAAGTAAAATTTTTTAAAAATTTAAAATATTATAAAAATATGAAATGGGCTATAACTATTCTCCCTAAGCTGTGTAAAAAATTATTTCGACAGCTGGGGTCGAAACACAATCTTAACTGTTGACCGGACTGATGTGTTATCCACTACACCACGCCGCCTTTTTAAAACAAAGAAATAAAAAATAATAAAGCTTTACGAATAAGAATTCCACATTTTAACAAAAATTTCTGTGATGGGATTTTCTTGGGAAATTTTCAGTTCTGCTTTTACGAATTTATAATATAAAAAATATAAAAATTTTAATAATAAATACATATAGCATGGGGAAGTGCCCGAAATTGCTATTGTGGAAAATGTGGTGGAAAATGAAGAAAATGAGGTTGGAGATGAGGTAGTTGGAGTGGAAGGTGGAGATGAAGTTGGAGAAGTTGGTGGAGAAGAGGTTGGAGATGTTGGTGGGAATGAGAATGAGGCTGGAAATGTGGAGAATGAGGTGGAGTTAAATGGGAATAATGGAGAGGTAAATTAAATGAATTTTAAAAAATTGCAAATTAAAAAAAAAATTTTTAAAGAATATACAATAGCTATTACTAAAACAATAGCTATATCTGAGGGTTAAAAATATTCTATAGCTATTTTTTTCCTTAAATTAATGCAGATTATTTAGGCGTCTGGGATCGAACCAGAAGCTTCAAAGTTGACATGTTATCCACTACACCACCCTCACTTCTAAATAACCTTAAGAATTAAATAGCTATATGCTTTACAATAATAAAGGGGAAAATGGAAATAAAAAATATTGCCCTCCCTCAAATAATTACCCCCCCCCCTCTCTATTAATTACCCCTTCCGGTGAGAGATCAAACAATAATTACCCCTAATCAAATTATAGGTGGTTAGAAATGAGCTGGAGGTTTTGAGGGAGAGGAATGTGGAATTAGAAGGAAGAGATGTTGATTTGAGATTGAGGATTGTAGATTTAGAGATGAGAATTGTTGAGCTAGAAATGGAGTTGGATTTGAAAGATGAGAGGGTAAATAAATTAAAATATTAAATCTAAAAATATTTTTTAATTAAAGGTTGAAGGGTTGAATGCGGAATTGAATGAGCGTGTATTGGAGATAATGCACGCAGATCGGCATTATTATCGTTAGGATGGTTTCCCATTTCTCTTCCCCCCTCTTTATCTTTTTTTTTCTTTTTCCGGCTTCCTACCCTCTTCTCTTTTCCAGCCTCTTCTTCTTTTATCCGTTTTTTTCTTCTTTATTTCCAGTCTCCTTTCTTTTATCCTCTCCCCTTCTTTTTTCCGGCCTCCAACCTCTTCTTCTTTTATCCGTTTCTTCTTCTTTTTTCCGGTCTCTTTTCTTTCTTTTATCTTTTCCTCTTTTCTTTTTACCCATTCTTCTTTTTTTTCGGTTTCCGTTTTTTCCGGTTCTTTTATCCCTCTTTTTCTTCCTCTTCTTTTTATCATTTTCTTCTTCGTCCTTATTCCCTTCTCCCATTTTTCTTCATATCCGGCCATCCATTCCAGCCCACCTCAAATAAATCCACTCCACTCTTCCTGTATCATTTTAACCCATTTTAATGCTTAAGTATAACTTTAATTTTTTTATTTTCCTGTTGCTTTTTAGATCCTTAATTTTCAAAATTTTATTTTATATTCTCCAAAAAAATTATTTTCCTGTTCACATATATTTAGACTAGTTATTTTATTTTACATAAATATTTTTTGTGTTTAGTGATTTTTCCGTTCAAAATTTTTTTTTTAAAAATTAAAGAAAATTTTGAAATTTGACAATAATAGGGAAAGAAAATCACTAAATAGAGCCTTAATTTTTTACAAATTTTTTTATTGTTGTAAAACACTCCAAACATTAATGCCATAAGACTAGATTTATTAAAAAAAATTTTTTTGGCTTGAATAGAAAAATTTTTTATGGCAATGATGTTAAGAGTGAGTAAAATGTTTCTAAAATTTTTTTACAAGTAAAATTTAAAAAATACAATTTTTTTGTTTTTGGGTAAAAAATATGGGAAGGTGAGAAAAATAGTAGGGATTGAATTTAAGAAAAATAAATTTTTAAAATTAAGAAAAAGGATGGTACAAATATTTTTGACAGATAACAGAAATAAAAACGGAAAAGTACAGGCACAAAAACAAAAAAAAATTTTTGAAAAAAAGGATTCGAAAATGAATTTCCAAAAAATATTCAAAAAAGAATTTCAAAAAAATTTTTCTGAATGATTGATTGACGCAGTTAGGTGAATATGAGAAAAATTTCCAAAAAATGAGAAAAATTTCCAAAAATTTCCAAAAAATTTCCAAATTATGGCTTACAATAGCTGGTTAGTGCAATAATTAAAAGAGAATAAGAAAGTAAGAAAGGGTTCGAATCATGGGTGGGCGCATCACATTAACACTAAAAAAACAGAAATATACCAGATTTATGGTCAAAAAGGGAATAATAAAACAGGCTCATTGGCCTTACAAAATTCTCCTTCTCTTGCGTCCACCCCTGGTTCAAATCCTTTTAGTGAAAAAAAAACATACGAGTGGCCTCATCAGTGAGTCTCGTAGTGCTAAAACCGTAAATACTCTATTAATTACCTTTCCTCAAATAATTACCCCGCCTCTATTAATTATCCCTTCCAGCGAGACGTTGAAATAATAATTACTGCGATTAATAGAGTATATACGGTAAATGCCGTTTCGGCCATTACTCATACGGCATAGAATTAAAAGATAAATGTAAATGCACCCCATTGAAAAGGGATGCCCCACCCCACCCACCAAAAACACCCCACCAGAAAGTTGATTAAACTATCTTAAAATGTCTATTTCTCAAAAAAACTTATGGGTCCTAAAATAGTCTTTAAATAGAGGCAAAAATTTGTTATTAGAAAATAGGCTTAAAAAATTTTCCAAAAAAAAATATTTAAAAAATTTAAAAAAAATTTAAAAAAATAAAAAAAAAATTTTTTTTTAATCGAGAAAAATGGTTCAAACTGAATTTAAATAGAATATATTGATTTTTAACTCCCCTCCCCATATTACTCCCCCGATACAAAGAAAAAAAAAATTACAAAATAAAAAAAAATTTTTTGAAAATTAAAAACTTGAAAAAAAACCGAAAATACTTGTAGAAAAATATTTTCCTAACAAAAAAATATAAAAATGCGCGCGATTTAGACTGCCATTTAGATTGGACCCAACTTCTCCCCTCCCCAAAAAAAACTCCCACTATAATTATTTAAAAAATTTAAAAACAAAAAATCAAGGCTGCTTAAACCAATTTCTATTCAAAACCTTTTTTAGTAAGCTTAAACCTTTTTAAAACCTAAAAAGAAAATTAAAACAATTACTATATTTCCTCAATTTTTTCACATAATAAAAATCTAAACCAGATTCCCCATCTTTTACGTCCCCTCCCGTTTACACCCCCCCCCCATAGAAGTATGGACCCGGAAACCGAGTGTCACTTAATTAGTTTGAGCAAACCCAGTAAAAATGTATTCAAAAATTAAACTTTACCCCAGTCAATTCTCTAACCAATTGGGAGAAATTGTTGTTGCTGATATTTGTTATTGTTGTTGATTTTAATGGTTTAATTAATTGTTGTTGTTGAATTAATTTCTGTTGGAATAATTAATTGTTGTTGTTGTTAAATGCCTGGAGGTGCCTGAAACGAAGATTGTAGTTGAAACATTAATAGCAAAATGGTAAATGCCTTTAATTACTTGTAAAATCCAAAAAAACTCTTCAGACGTAACAAAAATAAAATCAGCGAAAATATCCCGAAAAAAGATATGAATTCAAGGATTTAAGGATATCCTTACTTAAAAAATTATCCTTAAGTCCTATTAGCCTATTTAACTGGAGAAGGATAACTAAAACTTTGGAACAAAAAATTCTCGCCAAAATAAATCTCATTAAGAAATCGAGATTCTATAAGTCTGTTACGCCTGAAGAGTTTTTTCTTAACTTAGTTTATTAACAAAAGTCTAGAGTCCAGAAAATCCCCAGGCTTAGAAAACGGTCTTTGCATTCCTGTCTCAACCCTCTCTACTCCTCGTCTTTCGAAGAGCTAGAACGGAATTTTAGTCTAGTTAGGATCCCGTCATAAGTTTTTACGGATTTTTCCTAAGGTTAGCTCAAAAGTAAAAAATTTAAATTATACCATTAAAGTGCCATTTCTTCGCCTTCTGTAGATAATTGTTTCCCCGTTGTTGATGGGAATTATTGTATCCAATGTCGCATCGCATGTTGACGTCGCTGCTGTCGATGTGAGGGCAGGTAGTCGATCAAGAAAAAAAAGAAAAATTAAAAAAAATAAAATTAATGGCACTTGTGTTTTTATGTAGACAAGCTCATTCTCCATAAACACAAGTGCCATAATTTTAAAAATACCCTTTAAAATTGAAAAAGAAATTGGCATTTCCAACTGGGCTAGCCAATTCTAGCCAGGTGTTGTAGTAGCATCGAATGGTTTGCTAGCCAGATCCAAACCACAGAGATTGACTGAAGAGATTTTGTCTACTTCGGTACAGAGAATGTTTTCTTAAAAATTAGACAAATTTTTTTTCAAAAATTACCCAAAATACCGGTCACCCAAGAAAGGAAAAACTTTTAAAAAGAATACCAGGCTTGACATCTCGATGGGCAATTCCCCGATCATGAAGAAATTTGAGGGCATTCGCAATATCACGCGTTACAAGCGAGGCTTCTTGCTCAGTAAAGCAAACTTTTCGTTGAATATGATTAAGAAGAGGGCGGCCACGCATCTTCTCAAAAACCATGTAGAAGCTACTGTCTTCGAACCATTCAACCAATTGCACTTAAAAAGGAAAATGAGATAAATGGTTTGAAGAAAATTTTCAACCCAAAAAAAAGATGTGTTGGTGGCAACACCTGAGGCTTTTTCAAGTGCTCAAGTCAAGACACCTCCAAGTACTAAGCCAGAACCCTCCTCCCCGTGCGCTCATGTCATTGCCAACACCCAAGCACTTTTATGATCCTGAATTTCCCTGGAGTTCGTCAAAGCCATAATCTAACTCAGGATCCACTACCACGCCCAAAAACCAAGCCCAAACTTAGAAAATCAAAAAAGAACGGAATTCAAACCCACGTCGAATCCCGAAAACCAAAAAGGCAAATAACAAAAAAATGATCAAAACCTGTTTGCTCAATTTTCGTCCACCACGTGCATCTTTCTCCACCCACTAATTGCTTCTACCGATTGAAGAGATTTGCGTATAACAGAGCCAGATGCCAACACAAAATGGTTTGGCTGAACGCCATGACGCTTATTGCCTCCATAAACTTGCGGAAAGCTCCAACACCTTAATAACTTTTATTTCTAAATGAAAAAATTTTTAAAAAACCGGCTCGCGAACGAATGTAAAGACGGCGAGCAATGCTGGCAACGCGGACATAGTACCAATCAGGATTAATTGGTGCCAATTCTTTGTTCGTGCCAAGTTTTACCAAATCAGCCCATTCTGGAACTTTGATTTTCCCTCCTTTCTTCGGGAATGTCGAAATTGCGTCGACAATTTCGTGTTCATCCTATAAAGAAAAAGGAATTTAATATAAAGAGAAAAGTTTTCATTGACACTTCTCTTGGGGCGAATCATAAGAGTAACTTTGCAGAGGAAAGTAAACACTTCTCTCTGAAAAGTACTTTGAGCAAAGATTGCTTGGTGTTTACAAGTAAACAACAAGCAAACGCGCAAACAGTGATTTGTAAAAAAAAATAAGAGAACAATAATGAACAGAGAAAAAAAGTCAATAATGACAGACAGAATAAATTTTGAGCAGGGAGCTAAAAAAGCCAAAGATTGGCAATACATAGGTAAGGCCCAAAATTGGCAAAAAATTATTAATCACTGAAATTTTGAAGAGAAAATTTAAAAAATTTAAAAATGCTCATTTCTTTCCGGTAGGGGACGACTCAGTCCCGCCGATTCAGTCCCGCCGATTCAGTCCCGGCCGATTCAGTCCCGCCGATTCAGTAACCGATTCTCAACACAATTTATAAAGGACGCATAGTATTATTTGTAGCCAACTAAATAGTATTAATAACTTATTTTAAATGGCGTTTTATCAAGTATTGGGTGTATCCTAAAATGAGGGTTATTTAATAGAGAATTACAATAAAAATAGGGAAGAAATAAGAGATATATAATTTAGGGGGCACAAAAAGAAAAAAAAATAATGAAAAACAACAAAAGAAGAAGAAACAACAGAAACAGCCAAAAATCAACCAGGGGGTTGCAGATGAGCAGGTTGTTTCTGTAGATAGAAAAAATTGGATTTTTCTTTATATTTTTGAGTTCGGGTGGGTTGGGTTCTGTGACAATTCTTGGTTCTATTTGACTTTATAAGTCCAATCGAACTTTATAAGTCCAAATAAAACTTTATGAGTCCAATCAAAATTTATATAACCCATGTTCGGGACCTACGCCCACTGGGTCTGGAACCGTTCCTTACCCTATCCCTAGAAACGGGGGTCTAAAGTGTAACAATTAGAAATTCTTAAAATTATTTAAAATAAATTATTAATTTCCAAATTAGCAAAATAATGACACTGAATTAATTATGAATGAAAGTAATGAAAATATTTTGATTATTGATAATGAAAATGAAGAAGAACAAATTAATGAGGTTCAGTGAACATTTTGTGGTTATTTCAATGGGGTATTTTGGGGATATAGTCAGGCATTTTCTGAATTTCTATTTCTGACCGTGTAGAATCTCTACAAAACATTACCGTATGGCCAGTTTTGAACTTTGAGGGGGTATTTTGAGATTGAACTTCGAATTGTGCAAGGGCGCCCCGGATTCGACAATTTGAACGAGGTTATAGCTCTGCGGTACCTTGGGATGTACCCAGATAATAATAGTATATAAGTTAAAAATAAATAATTATAAACCTAGGGGGTGCAATCAGCAGAATCTGAAGCTGAACAACATTCTGTTCCCCAGAATCAGTCTGCCAATTATGAAGTTGAAATTCAAGTGCTGCGCAAGCATATTGAATACTTAAGACGTGAGAAGGAATATGCTGATTCAGCACGTGGAAAGCTTGCAGAGGAAAATGATGTGAGACAAAATTTTTGTCTTTAATATTTTCCATAAGAGCTTTTTACGAGTCGATAGACACCAAAATAAGCGAAATTTGACTTAACAAAGGAAAGTGCATGTACTATTCATGAAACTTCGGGATGAAATTTTTTAGACAGGTAAATCATACTCTACTTTAGATGTGAAATGTTCACAATTTTATCAAAAGGGTACCGGGCCCTAGATATGTCTCCAAAGTTTTAAGATCCCACAACCCCCCCCCTTTCTTTTTTTTTTCATCGATCTTTTTGAAACAATACAATTTCTTTTTATTTATATGTGTTCTTCTGTGGTGCAGCGGCACCGTTCTTAACTGTAATTTTTTCACCCAAGTACGAATCCTGTCTGGAAAAATTAATTTATTTTAACATGAGTTTAGAGAAAAATATGGCCCCCACGGAAAGTTAAAAAAATTTTCAAAAAAATTTTTTCTATCTTTTTGAAACAATTTTTTAAAAATTTGTTTTGAAAAAAGAGATATAATTTTTAATGTTGTTTTTGATTTTGAGGTTGTTAAATTAAAATTTTTTGTTGAAAAAATTCTTGAAAAATTTTTCTAAGAAATTTTTTTGAAAATTCTTTTAGAAATTTTTGAAAAAAATTTTTTGACCGATTCTTTAAATTTTTTCATGGGGAATACATACATATATGTATATGTATTTGCTTCTAAATTGTTAAAATAAATTACTTTTCCCTGGCAGGATTCGAACCAGGGAGGAAAAAAGTTATAGCCAAGAACGCTGCCCCTATACCACCAAATACAACATTTTTACATAAAAAGAAATTGTTTATATGTGGGAAAAACTTTGCAGCCTTATATCTCGGTCCCCATTACCATTCTGCTAAAATGGTGAAAATTTTACAATTCATCCCGAAGTTCCACGGAAACCCAAATCACTCTCCATTGTGAGTAGACATTTTATGACTAGAGTTGAACAAAATATGCATGGAAAATCGCTAAATATGCGCATATATTTTAGTGCTTCACCGGAACCGGATCCAATTCGAGTTCCAGATCCCGAACCAAAAATCTTATTTATTTCAGCAATTAAAAAAGAGAGTTGAAAAACGGGATAAAGAATTGGGTGCTCGCATGACGCAGCTGGTTCTTGAATCTTCGGAAAGAAGATTAGCACTTGAACGAAAAGACCAAGAACTTGAAAATTGGATTTCTAAATTTCATGCATTAGAAAAAAAGGGTTTGATCTTTTCTGTTGGCAGAAAAATTATTATTTTTTAAGATGCGGAGGAAAATACTCAATTAAAAGAAAAACTTTCAAGTCTAGAAGAAGCAATATTGACACTGGAACAAGAAAAGGCAGACATGGTCCAGAAATTGTCTCAAGCCAAACAAGAAGGAGTTAAACTGGTGTGAAAAATATTTCTATTTATTAAATTATTTTTATAAAATATTTCCAAGGTCAAAAGTGAAGAGCGCAAATACAATGACGCTCTCGCTGTCGAGCTTAAAAAACGGGACGAAGAATGGGGTGCTCGTTTGAAAGAAATGGAAGACCAAATGCAACTTTCGGCTCTATATGAAATGAAGTCCCAAATCAAATTTTATCCATCTTCCTTAAAATAAGTAATTTTCTTTACATTTCTCTCTATTTTTGATTTATGCCGTAAGTCTATGAATGCAAAAGGATTAACTGAACGTGTGTGTCCGTGTTTTCACTGTCTATGTCCGTCCGAGTCCGTCCGTGTTTGTCTGTCCGAGTTGTCCGAACCGGTTCTAAACCGGTTCCGGACCTTTGCCGGTTTCACGGACACGGACGAACTCGGACAGTCACAACACGGACGGACACAGACAGGGAAGCGGACACACACGGTCATAAACACACACGTTCAGTTAGTCGTTTTACATTCAGAGCCAAACGGCACAAAACAAAAAAAAAGATAGAAATGTAAAGAAAATTACTCATTTAAAGGAAGATGGAAAAAATTTGATTTGGGACTTCATTTCATATAGGGTCCAACTTTCTGTCGAAGAAAACGATATGCAACGAAAGACAACTTATGCTGATCATGAACGTATTACTAGCTCGTTGAGAGAACGAATTTTTGAACTTGAAAAGGTTTTTCTATTTTAATATAATTGTAAACTAATAACTGTTATTTTTCCATAAATCAATCTAATTGATAATTGAAGTCTCAATTTTAGCTAAAAGACAATGATGAAACCCGTTATAATGATTTGCTTGCTACTCAACTGAGAAAAAGTGATGAGGAATGGAATGTCCGTTTTAAAGAGCTCGAGGAGCGGTTAAATCTTTCTGTTCAAGAGAATGACCGTCTACAAAAACAAATAGCTGATGATGAGCGTATTACAAATGATTTAAAAGAACGCATTGAAAGCATGGAAAAGGTTTTATTTTGATTTCAGTTCTAATTGTTTAACGAATTTAGAACAATGAAAGCCTTCAGAAATTGATTGAACAAAAGAAAGAGGAAAAGAAGAAAATTATTGATGAGTATAAAGAAAAGATCGCGCTAATTGAAAAAGAAAGCCTTAAAGCTCGGGATGATGCACTTATCGAACAACAAAAAATTTTTGAAATACAACTTGCAACCGAAAAAAAACAAATTGTGGATGAATATTCAGAAAAAATTGAGTGATTCCCATTCTAAAAATGATACTCAAGTAAATTGTGAATCTTTAGAGAATTAAAAAATTTGTTTAGATAAGTGAAATGAAAGAGGCGCTTTCTTCATGTGAACAGTTAAAATCACAACTACAATTAGAATTGAAGAATGCAAAACTTGAACTTAAAAAGCAACAACAAAATGAAAAACTATTGAATGGTAAATAGAAATATTTTTAATAAATCAAAAAATAAAATTTAGACAAAACTTCTGAGTTTGAAGAGACTAACAAAAAATTTTCTGCTTTTAAATCTGCCAAGCTAAATGAAATTGAAAATCTCAAAAAGAAATTAACTGAAGCTGAAGAAGTTAGATTGAAGGAAGTTACGGAAATTAAAAGTATGTTTCTCATGTCAGTGTTTTTTTAAGTTTTGTGCATTTTTAATTTAGAAGAGTCTGAGAAGGCAAAACAGAAAGCAATTGCTGATATGAAGTCAGAAATTAAGCATTTGTATGATAGCATTAATGAAAAGGATTGTGAATTGGCATCAACTCATGCTGAAATTTCTGTATGGTTTTAATTGAAATTTAAAAAATATTTCTTTGCAAAAAATCTCATCAATTAAAATTTAAAAATTATTTTCAGAAACTTATTGGAGAACTAGAAGAGAAGAAGAAAATTGTGGCTGAATACGAAGAAAAAATTTTGCTTCTTGAGAAGGAAAATCTAATTGAAAAGGAAAGCCTTAAAGCTCGGGATGATGCACTTATCGAACAACGAAAAATTTTTGAAACACAGCTTGCAACCGAAAAGAAACAAATTGTCGATGAATATTCAGAAAGGATTTCAACTTTAGAGGCTAAAGAATTTTCAGTACAGCAAATTTTTGAAGAAAAACTTTCCAATGAGAGGAAACGATTAATT